GATTAAGGAAGGTTACAGCAATAGCCAATTTAATTTAAAGGCCAAAGTTGCTCGTTCTCCAAAGCTATCCCTCTTCCTTGACACATTTGAACTGAATGACACAGCCTAGGAATGCACAAACTGACACACACTTCCATGTGTATTTTTGGGGAATAAAATCAAGGCACTTCCCAGAACTATTACTTACTTTTTCTGTAGCGAATATGAAGGGAGATTAAGGAAGGTTACAGCAATAGCCAATTTAATTTAAAGGCCAAAGTAAATAATATATGAAGGCATATCTCCTTTGTTTGAGACAAAGTTGGTCCTAATCAGAGGCCTAAGGGCATTCAACTATTATGAAATACTTAAATTTCCTTCAATAAAACATGAATCAGGGAAATCTACCATTAGGACTCACCAAGAGATCTAGACATTGAAGAGTTTTTATTTTATTAACTATTCAGCTAGTCGATGTTTTTCCTCATTTTTTTCTGTTTACCTACAGAATGACTCCCATCAATGATATTTCACTAAGAATCATATTAATTACCCATCACAACATGCAGTAACACTTTTCTGAATGGAGGAAAGCTGAACTCTAGATTCCCGTTCTCTTCTTCCAGACTGCGTTAGCGACGTGAGGAGTATCGATGGGTTTCAGAATACTTTGAGCTCAAGACATCAAGCTCAGGCAACTAATTTCCTTCAATTCCTTTTGTTAGTTTTCAGTTGCAGTGTAGTCATCCTCACCACCAAATCCAGCCTTTCCCATCCTTTTCCTTTATTCTACTGAAACTGTTTATGTTAAACCCTCTCATTTGCTCAGTGCAAAAGAGAACGAGTATTTCCTCCAGTTCATCTTCCTATAGGGGTTTCCCATCTTCAGTCTCCTTCCTTCCTCCATCTTCTTTAAACTCAGCAGTTAAAAAAAAAAAAAAAAAAAAAAAAAGGTAAAGTGAGTAAATTAGCTGACTAGGATGCCCTTCCCTGGAAGGGCTCAGGATTGACAATTTCTCTCAAAATATAGTTACAAAAGCTATAGTTATGCCCTGCTCGCTGTGCACAAGTGAGCTCAGCAAGGCCACACAAACATGCTCGGGGGCTCCGACTCAGATACAAACTCAGGTTCACTACTTTGTCAGAGACTTCTCTGCTCTTAAAAGAGGGTGCTGCTTTACTTCACAGGAATACTGAGAAACTACAATCCATTAGTGACTGGCAACATGTGCATAGGTGATAAAAAACAAACAAAGCAAAACAGATTTTACCAAATGCTGCTACATAATCACAGTTACGGTATTTCCAACAACACAAAGTAAGTTAAGGATAGATCTAATGTGCTGAAGGGCCACTTGGCTCCAGGTTCATCTAGAGACTGGAGAGAAGCACTGGGTATGGCTTGGGTGACAGGGGATTAAGAGGAAGGGACACAGCAACGTTTCTGTGAGAAAATGTCAGAGTATTAAATTGTAAACAATGGAGAATATGAATCCTTACTCCAGTGCAGAGGTGGTGTCACAGTGCAGTGTTAACTTACCTTGACAAGTCAGGTGCAGTGGTGCCCTGCTGAAGGTCAGCCAGCAGTACCTCTGCTCTGCCAGTCCCTAGAGGAGGGCTTCCACACGGAAAACTGATCTTTACGTGAAATAAACTGCCCAGGTCAGATTTCTGCATCGGTAGTCATTAAAACAAGCACAGAAACATCTGAGTGTTATCAGAATTTGGGCAAGTATAGAGGAACAGAAAATGGTAGTTCTTGGGGCAATATCATTAGTTCTACAAAGTCTCCAGCGAAAAAAATTGTCAAACATACAAAAAGGTATAAAAGTGAAATATAGTAATTAAGACCTGGGCTTTATCGATTGTGTGGCTTAAGTAATTTTTCACTACAAACATAAGATTTAATAAGTATAAGTACTTAAAGATCTTGACTTGGCTGTAGTCATTAGCATGTAATTGAACTGGTAAAAAAAGATCAGTTAAACCTATGTTGATTACCACCTTATCTTTGAAAGGCAATTAAGGACCTCAATCATTGCAACAAGACTTGATTGTGCAGCCTTTATTGGACATTGATCTTTCAGCAAAGCGCAGTTACATTTTCCATTAATTTACAGTAACACAGTTTAACTCAGATACCTGAGACCATTGACCTGGGTATGATGTAATGCCAAGCTCTCGTTTAGGTTAAGATCCCCCCCATAGTCATTACTGTTTAAAAAGGGACTGCTACAAGAAGTAGCTACCTGATCCTCTGGGTTTAGAATAAGGTTTCATCTACTACTTTATCAGAAGTAGTTGTTAAGTGAGGGGAAACAAAGCTCTTTGCCTTTCCATGTCATCCCTCACTCACGTAAACATCATCCTTGAGTACAGCAGAGAGATAATTAGGACAAGAGTTAAAGAGAAACTACATTTTGTTTCAAATGAAAATGGAGCAAATCCGCAAAAAGTTAGAGAGGTCACTTAATAATTCAATTATCTTTCACAAAATGTAACCATAATTGTGTGCATAGCATATATGGCATAATACGTACAAAAAGGAACTTGCCAATTAAAACAATTACAGGTAAATGATTGTGGAATAAAGCCTCATGCCCTACAAGTTCGCCTTTTGAAGCACCAGGGTTACAAGACAACCCAAAAAGATCCTTACGGGCAAGACACAACTGCTTGGTGTTATGTATGCAAATACATAATGCACCTTTAAACAATAATAAGTTAGAAGTTCTTATTAAAAGTCATCTTTTATTTCCTTTGGTTCAAATGCTTGGATCTCTCTACAAGGGAAGACCCTGTTCTCCTCATCCAGGATTGTCTGTTTAGGCCTGGACAGCTACCAGGAGGGAGAGTTGAGGGTGCTGGGAAGCGCCGGCTCCCGGAGCAGCGTTCCCTGCGTGCCGGGGTAGCGCGGCGCCGCACGCCCCGTCCTGCTCGCCGCTGCCGCGTCCCCCAGAGCCTTACGGACATTCTGCTTTAGACCAGGTGGGATGAATCTTCCTGGCCCTTTTGTCCCTCAGCAGCTCCGTCATGCATTCAGACTGATGCTCAAGAGCAAGTGAGCAAAACAAGAGAGAGAGATACAAAGAAGCAACATTTTGTAGCAAAAAGCAAATTAAAGCCAGATGAAGTATTCTACCTTTGGCTGAAGACAACCAAGTAGGTTTATATTCATACTTGAAAGCGATTTTGTAATGATTTATTAACTCAAGCAGCAGCCATTATAAATATCTTATTTTCCTTTTAAGTACTCTAACAGGCTTTCTACAAGTGTTAATGATACCAGTGAATGATACTATATTTGCACTCTGCCCTCAGACATCTTCTGGTTCATCCTTTAGCGTGATCAACTTCATAAGAGCAAGAGGTCTATTGATTTTCATGTAATACAAGAAAATATTACATTTGCTTAATTGTTACACAGTGAGATCATTGAACAAGAAATCAAGGCTCTATTTAATGCTGCAAGCAGCACAGAATTGCAGCAATCAATAGGGTAGTTTGTCAAAGATGTTCTCTAAGGAGACTTGCCCATCACCGTATGGACAAGGAGTCACGCTGCCTGCATTTATCGAAAAACAGGTAAGCAAAGTCAGCAGTACACATTATCAGAAATCAAACAACTGCAGTGAGTGGAGGTGCAACTCCAATGAAGAGCTGTATTTATAGTCTGGTAATTAAAAAACATTTTATCAACCTAGCGTTGAGACTAAACCTTTACAGCAAGGTATTGACAAGATCCGTGACAATGAATGAGCAGTATTTGACTTTAAACTTATGAGCTGCAGTTATTTAACTTCAGCCAATACAGTGAAAATCAGTTCTAGAAAAATGCCAACAGTCAGTTTTATTATTAATGATGCTTCTTGTAATACTATCTCTTCATCTCTGAGACCATTTAACTTGTGTCAAGAGTACTATCCAAAATTAAATACAGTAGTGTAACTGCTTCTTTGATTAAAGTGTCATTTACTGTTGCTTTTTTTAAAAAAAAACACATGTATTGCTTCATTAAGTGGGAAACAGTTCCATTATCTGGAATTAAGTAAAAAGTATTTAAATTACATTACAGTGTAGTCATGGCTTGAGAGTCATTTATTTGGGAACAGTGATTCCCTACCCCCAAAATAATCCCTACTCATTTTTCATTTATATTCCATCTTATGGAGATTGGAATACATAACTTATGTCACCAGAACTGGAATTCAGAATGAACAGGATTTATCTGCTGGCATTAAACTCAGCACCAAGAATATCATGTACAGGTGTTTGCTGTGTTTGAACTCATTATCCAGCTATTGTTACTTTCTACTACCCAAATAACTCCCTAAAAGCCTTCTATTTTTCTAGGTTCCTGGATGAATTTAAGTCTTTTCTCCATCATGTCTGCTATTTTGTATCACAACTGAGTGCAGTATTCTTCTCATTCTCCTGCATTATTTAAAAACAACTTGTAAATTTGTGCACGAAATTCAATCGTCTAGATTAGCTGGGTTTCATTAGTTACCTGTAAAGCAATGAAAAAAAATACAGATACCTGGAGTATAAGAATGGCAAAAAATATAAGTGTAAAACATATCTTAGATATTTTATTTAAGTATTTTTTGAAGACATGTAATACAGACGTAATGTTCTGAGGGCCCAAAAGTGTTCTGGGCAGTTGCAAGGAAACACTCTCATGGACTCATTCAAACAATCTGGCAACTATGACAGTTAATGTATTACAAAACATCTAGTCACAGTGTGTATTTTAGCAGCTTATAATTACATTCCAGACTTGGAGAAAGTTTTCTTTGCTATAGTTCACTTCCGTAGCTTGATAGATAAAACTTTTTTACATATTCAAGTTTTTGTTCAACAGTTCTTATCTCTGACTTTAGCAAATTAAAACACCCTTAAAAATATTAACTCTTCTCCCTAGGCTTCAACCTTTTCAGCTTTACTAACCTTGGCAAAAATAAACTTCTTTTCATCAAAAAAGGCCTCTTGAAGACTCCTCCATAAATTAAGATAGACACCGAAAAAATTGAAAATTGTCTTCACTTTTTTGTATTTGGAGGCAGTAGATATTTGCAGTAGCTATAACATGGAAATCCACCAAATGACAGGTACTCGAGGGTGTGATTTCAGTACATTGCACCTTCATCTTCTTTATTTAGGAAATAAATAGTAACTGGGCCACAACTTGTATGAACAGTCTCTGTGACACTGGCAAAGAACCAGGAGCCAATTCCATATAGTAAAGTTGGGATGCCTAAGAGAAAATAAAAACATGTTACATACAGAGATAGCAAGCCAGGAAAATGAAACCTGACTGTGAACTGTAATGAGGGCTTCGAAGTGAGAGGAAAGGCAGTCCTGCAAACGCAGCCTTACTAAGACGCGGCCCGCGCTGAAACGCTCACAGGCAGAGCGGCTGGTGCACCTTTCCTGCACACAGAAAGCATTAAAAATCAGCAGATAGTTTAACAAGAGCAGGATTAGGCTGGAATTAACAGAAGAAGAAAATGGGAGGATATCAGTGCAGAAGTAAAGCACGGTCATATATACAGCTTAATTCTTATTGATAAAACCCCCCCGAAACTGAACTGTGAAGTCTCTAGCCATCCACTCAGTTACCTGTTCAGTTTCACTATCTATCAGAGCAGAAAAGGGACGGAAAACAGGCAGAGCCTCATAAATCACCACAAAGTTGTTTGTAGGAAAATTAGCTAGTAGTGAAGTAGGTAGCAGCGAAGTAGACAGTAGTGAAGAGCACCAACCCCAGCACAACTAGCCTGGGTGTAAAGGTGTGCGTACAAAGTGCTAACGTTTGCAGTTATTCATAACGTTTGCAGTTATTCGCAATCACCAGGAACACTGCACCTGACATGGGAGGAAAAATGGAGCTGGATTTACACCCTGAATTCAGTGAGCTACTAAAAAACTGAATTTACTGTGATAAAAGTTACTTAGGTGCTTAAGCTAGAGCTTAGGTGTCAAAGGAAGGAGATGAGTTGACATTTTAACGGTCTTTGCAGATCACTGAAATGTAAAACACACAAAACATGCAAGAAAGGTGGGTTAGGTCAGACTGTGCAGTGAAAAATAACGTAGGATTTAAAATGATTACAGAAAAATTAATCTCGGTGATTACATTTTTGTTCCACTATGTCAGTCCAGAAAGATCACAAAATGAGGAATGGCTGGCACATTATGGAAGAAAAAAAACCCACAAAAGCTTGCAAGTCAGCATCTTTGAAGTTTTTTTTTCCCAAAGACATAGGGAAACGACCTGATAAAATCTGAAAGCCCACTGCAACTGACGGTACTTAAATACGCCACACTTGAACACTGAAAATTACTTTTGGTTAACGTATTTCCAAACATACCTATCCTTATTTTTTCTTAATGGAAAGAAAGCACTGCATTTTTGCTTTTAACTATTTACACTGGAGCAATACCTCATTACTATTCATACTGTAGCAACACTTTATTTATACCACAGTGGCACCTAGGAGCAAAACGGGCTCCAGTCCGCCACTACCTTCGCCACTGCCTGCTGCAAAGACGCGAAAATTACCCTAAACGCTAAGAAGCGAATTAGTGTCCTGTAACTCCTGCCAGCGCCCGGGTTGCTCGCTTGGAGCGCCGAGGGCTGCGGGACGCGAGATTCCCAGGTGGAAAAAGACACCCCCGCGCGGGCGGCGATCCCGCGAGCAAGCAGCGCTTCCGCGCGCGCCCTGAGGCAGTTCTACGCAATTTTAACTTTCTTTAACAGCCGAAGAGTCCCCGGCGAGGCGCCCACCCCCAGCCGCCCCCTCCTCGGGCGGCGGCGGCCCCGCTCCGCCCGCCCTCACCGGCGTTGAGGAGCTTGAGGGCGCTGAAGGCCGCGTTCTGCAGCGCCAGGTCGCGCGGCGCGGCTCGCGAGCAGTGGTACTTGACGAAGGGGAAGCAGCCGGTGCGCAGGACGTGGTAGTTGGCGCCGTCCACGCGCCAGTTGAAGTGCGACAGCCCGAACTGGTCGTTGCGCACCGCGCTGTACTTGACGCAGTACGAGGTCCAGTGGGGCAGGCCGCGCTGGCGCAGGTGCTGGCTCAGCACCTCCGAGGCGGCCGGGCGGCCCCG